GACAAACAAGGTGACAACAGGCTTTCACAGTGTTTCGCACACTAACTAGCTGCTAGCACATCACATGTAATTTGCTTTTCCAAATAAGCTGACACACAGGTCTCCATGCAACCCGAACGCACAGATTTCTCTCTGAAACAGCCTTGGGCACATTCTAAAATCTCAGCGAGCCAAGTGGTGTTGAAATTATTCTTCATACCGGCTTTCCTTTCTGGGAGTCAGTATCAGAGGGGAAGGTGATTTGCAATTAAATGTCTGTCCGTCTTCCCAAGACAAACCTCAGACGTTCCAAAAGAGGGATGGGTCTAGTATTGGAAGGCGCTTGCTTCAACTCTCCAGCCGATGAAGGTCATGGCCTACATTTACGAAGGATTTTTCATGGAGGCACACACACATATGCACGCACATGCACACATGCATGCACACAGGAACACATGCACACACATGCACATGGACACACATGCACACATGTGCACAACGCACACACACATCCGTATACATGCAGACACACGATGCATGAGCGTGCACACACACATGTGCACACACGCACGTGGACACGCATCACACACAGGCACACACATGCATGCACATGCACGTGGACACACATGCACACATATACACGCATGCACACGCGTGCACACGTCCACCCACATTCACACACGTGCACACATGCACACGCACATGCACACAAAGCATACACATGCACGTGTACACACACATTCCCACACACACATGCACACGCACACAGGGCAACTAAAACACGAGAAGCAAAGGGAAAGGAATGAGTTGAAGAGGGAGGTACCCCCGGGATTTCTATATTTCTTGGGCAATTTTCATGTCGATGGGAAAATAGGAAATGTGAACAAGAGCTTGTTTCCTGAGGGAAGATTCTGCCTTTACCCCCAATTCCAGCGTGTACTTGGTGAGAGCTGCCAATTTGGGTGAGCTTTCAAAGCGAGACTCCCGGCTCACCCTTCCTTCCGGTGGGGGAAGCCTCCCCGTCACCTACATAACAGGATGTCCCTGTCCCCGTATCTTCAGAGCTATAGAAGTCCATGGCACTCTTATCTTAAAGTTAGAACTGCTACCCAAAACTCAACCTTTTTCTGCAGATAAAACAAGTTCTCGGTCTCATTCTGACAATTGCTTTTCTCATCCCTGCATCTGATTAGAGGGATCCCCCGGGATTGTACTAACTTAAATTAATTCTTTTGTACCGAGAGATATTGGCCAGGTTCTTCCTCTTCATCATTTCAATGGTTTCTAAATTTTACTTCTCCCTGAGCCTCTAGTGGCCACCAGCCAGCTTCGAGGCAGAGACTCCTCACCCACTTACATGAGGCGAGAATGGCCACCCGGGGCCCTCTGGGGTCCTCCCCTGCCTCCGATGCCCCCCCCCCTCAAATTGTGTCCATGTTACGGAAGTTTGCTTTATATTTTATGATCTGGGATTACTCTGAGCTGGGGGGGGGGTTCTGTTTCCACGTGTACCTTTATTCCGCATTCCCGAAAGTTCTGTCTTACATGGGGAGCTCCCGGGGTGGACCTTGACTCACCGCTTTGAGCAATGGCTCTCATTGGAGTCACAGATCCCCCTCTAATATTTCCAGTAAATGGCGATTATAGTAAAAATGGAATTCTGAAGCGAGCTTCGGCTTAACAGACATCCACCCAAGTTGCCAACAAAGGTTGTAGTATCACATTCAACCATGAACTCAGTCATTACTTGAACGAATTGTTGTGATGTGTGGCTATGATTCCCGCTTAATATCAGGCAGTGGGTGCAGTGACGTCACAGCATGCACACGGCTCCTGCTCACAACAGCAGATGAGCCCTGGAAATAGTTCTCCGTGTGCCCTCTCCCACGGGGTCTGCAGGTATGGAATTGAGGTACTCTGCACAACGAGGAGGGGGGCTTCTTCATCAAGCTGTTAGCAGCTTTGGGATTTCTCCACTGGGTTGGTTTAAGCGATTGCTCTGCTTGGTTCCCTTCTTTCCTGCACAGCCCCACTCAGACTCTCTGTGTTCGTGAACGTGGTGGTGATGGGGGTGTGGAGGGAGACGCTATTTCTTCGCTAGCTGTTGTAAAAAGGATTGCCATCATCACCAGCCAAAATGCATGGCACCCATGCAGCAATGGAGCTAACCTGTCAGCCTGTCGGGAGAGGTGCTTTGGGGAGCTGCAATACTCCCATCAGCAAAGCACGTCTCTCTGGACAGACATCTCCCGGTCATTTCCAACGCGAACCCCTTTCTGTGTTAATTATGCTTCCTTTAACATTATAAGCAATATGATTTCACTTCAGAAGTCATCACATTTGCTGGAGAGCCTCAAAATATTTATTGTTTCTCCAAATCAAGCCTCCCTCAACGCTTGAGGATTTTACTCACTCGGGTTATTCTGGAGTCCCCGAAAGAGATTCTTTGCGTCCCCGAAAGAGATTTTTTTTTTTTTTTAATGAGCACCAAGAAATGTTTTGAACAAACGAAGGACTTCAGTGAATCACAAGCATGGTGTACCAGGTCATCACAGGGCTGTTGACCGACGAGGTTGGAAGTGTCCGAACTTCTAGGTTTGTATTTAAAAAAAAAGATATTCTACTCCGTGCAACTGGACACAAGGTGTGTGAGGAGACACAGATTGGTAGCCAGCACCTGAGATCCTCCTTGCATACATCCACCCTCCTCTGTGGCTTGACAAGGCACATGTGACTTTCACCATCCTGCGCTGTCATGGCCGCTACAGAAAGATCCAGAGCCCGAATCTGAGTGCCTGCATCCTCCCCAGTGTTCATACATGGAAGGAAAAATAAACCACGAGCCTTCTGGGGTAGCCTCCCTGCGGCGGTTACCATAAAAACTAACACGAGGGCCGCCTGGGTGGCTCAGCCAGTTAAATGTCCAACTTTGGCCCAGGTCATGATCTCGTGGCTTGTGGGTTCGAGCCCCAGGTCGGGCTCTGTGCTGACAGCTCAGAGCCTGGAGCCTGCTTCAGATTCTGTGTGTGTGTCTCTCTCTCTCCCCTGACCCCCCCCCAAATAAATAAGCATTTAAAAATTAAAAAAAAAACATGAATGGATAAAGAAAATGTGGTATATATATCATGGAATATTACTCCGTGATCAAAAAGAATGAAATCTTGCCATTTGCAAGACGTGGATGGAACTGGAGGGTATTATGTTAAGCGAAATATATCCCTCAGAGAGACAGATATCATATGATTTCACCCATGTGTGGAATTTGAGAAACTCAACAGATGAACGTAGGGGAAGGGAAGGAAAAATAAGATGAAAACAGACAGGGAGACAAACCATAAGAGACAACCATAAGAGACAAACACGGAGAATAAACTGAGGGCAGCTGGAGGGAGGCGGGTGGGGGTTGGGCTGGATGGGCGACGGGCACTGAGGAGGGCACCTGTTGGCAGGAGCCCTGGGTGTCGTATGGAAGTGACGAATCACTTGAATTAAAAAAAAAAAAAATCTAGCACATGCTTCCGTAAGGCTGTGAATGAAGTCAGTTTGGCTTAAGTAGGAGCAAACACAGTGACCCTTGAGGAATCGTATATCCTCTCCCACTCTTGTTTGCCTTTTGGCACGTTTTCATGGGAATCTGTGTATTTGCTGAGGGCAGGTTTTTGTGCTCATAGTTGAAAAGGAGGAGGAAGAAGTCTGGGACTCGAGTAGCAAGTCTCGTTGACGAATGTGGTCGCGTCCAAAACAAATTCTGATTTTTTTTTTTTTTAACTTGTGGACTCGAAGCCCTTTCAAAAATAATTTGTAATCTCATCGGGCTTTTCAACTCCTGCTAGTAATAATACGACGATGCTGCTGCTGGTAAATCCAGGCCCAGAACGTCAGGATGATCACTTTCAAAGCGGGCTGCAAATTCATGCCTTTGTATGTCTTCCCTTGGCTTTTCAGACTTGGGTGCAGTCAGGGCACAGCTTCTCACTTTCAACACAGGACGGGGAGGAGAAGGTGGGACACCTATTCCCTGACCGAAGAAGGAAACAGATTCAGAATCTCACGACTTGCCCGAGACCTCCGGGCTGAGAGCTGGGTCTGCAAGACGAATCACGGCCACGTGGCCTCTGTTCTCCGGAGACAGAGGTCACCTCGTGGGCTTTGCCAAGTGGAATTTCCTAAGTGACTCTGGTCTGCACACAGATGCACTATGTCAAGTCAATGACGGTGTTTTTCTTTTAAAACAGAACAATGAACCTCACAGTTGTCCCCTTGTGCGTAGATGGTGGCAAATTATTGTTTGCCAAGCCTTCTATCTCCTCCCTTTCTGTGTTCCATTGAGATCATGGAAATGCAAAGTAAATAACCATGGAGTAAAATGCCTCGGAGAGTATTTATTTAAGAGTATTGTTCCAGGATGTGCACAAAGATAAAGACTTTGTGTAATGAATGAGTGACTCCAGAGGCCAAATAGCAAGAAGTTATATTCTGTACCCAGTGCGTCCTGGCCTGGGTGAGGTCACCACGGGCTCCCCGAGGACATGCCCTTACAAAGGGGGTCACCTTGTCCCGTGAAAACCAGTCCTCGGAATCCGCAGGGGCAGGTAGGAAAATTCTCGGCCGTTGTCAGTGTGTCAAAATGTCAAGGTGGAAAGAGGCCCACCGAACGATACGGGTTCGAGAGTGGGGAACAGGCAGCATGGGCCCCCAGAGCCAACTGTGCGGCACGCAGACATCAGAGAGAGGCCATCCGGAGAGGGCAGGCCGGGTCCCGGGAAGGAGGTTTGGGCCACGCACAGTGGGCAGCGTTCTCCTCCCCCGTCCCTCAAGGGCCCAACGGGGAAAGAGCAGTTTTCATGTAACATCTGCAGGGGAGGCGTGGGCGGGGGGAGGGGGGAACCATCGGCGTTGGGGGATCCAGCATAATTGATTTTGACATCACCCCGTTCCCCACAGATGCAGCAAACAAACAGACAGACAGACAAAACACGGATGGCCTAATTTGGAATGAAATACGACGCAGGAAGCACACAGATGTCTCTGCATATTTAATGATTATTGACTTTTTAAATTGGTTTTAAAATAAAAGCTTTCTAGATGAAATACAGATTTGGAAGGATTACTAGAAAGAGTGGCTTGAGCACCCACAAATTTTACATTAATTTCTTGCCCGTATGCATTAAAGCTCCACCATTTGCCTAATTTCCCGTAAGCGTATATCTGCTGTGCAAATTGTTTCGCCGTTGAGAATGCCATCCAGGCAATCTAGTGATGTGATGAACGGACTTTTCAGAAACAGACCTGTTTATTCACTAATTGCGTACGAAGTAAGCTGTAAGGTATCCCCGAAAAAACACAACACAACAAAACAAAAACCCACAGCAGGGCAAGGCGCTGTCTTCTTCGGGGAGCAGGGTGTATTGATTTACATAATAAGAACATAGAGAATTGAGTTTTATTGATATGGGAACACATTTTATTGCTTTCTCTGATGTAGTGGGTTGGATTCCCCATTTCATTAAAGCCAGATTACTGGCCCCGTTTCATTATCACTGTTCTGATTCTCAGGGAAAGTAATCTTCCCCATAGCTTTTTGTTACTTAATTATTATAGTGCGTAACAATCATAAAATTTACACAGAGCAGTCTTTGTAGAAATACGCGGAAAGCACGGTCTTTATGTGAGCGGTATGGAGAAAATACCTTTGGTCTTTTTCTTTTTCTTTTTTAAATTCGACCGTCCTAGTGGGAGAACCCCCCCAGAAGCTCACACACCTTTCTCCAGATTTTACACTCGGTGTGCGTTATATGATGGCTCCTATCACACAGGGTCTCAGGTCAGATGTATACCAAAGAAATTCCCCTTTCATAGATGGAAAGACTGAGAACATCAGCATCAGTAACTCGCCCGGGAAGAGGACAGGTGAGAGTTCAAAAGTCAGGAGGAGAATTCGAGAGGCCCCAGCATCAACTCCTCAATCCAAGACACACGCAGAAAAAATGACCACAAGTTGCAACCAAAGTTTTTGCTAAGTGACGGCACGTCCAGTCTTTTCAGCTTCCCCTGTCTTGTGCTAGACCCAAGCAAACCCCTTGTTTGTCTCTCTCTCGACTCTTCTGTTCCACTAGGACGCTTGCCTGCTTCCAGTAGATGACCCCGCACCTGCAGGTGCAGGTTCTGAAGCAACCCCAGCCGCTCCCGGCCGTCCACAAAACCCCCAGGCCCTACTGCTAGGAGCACAGCATTGATACCAGCACGAGAAGGCACTTGGTCTCCAACCTCGGGCTCTTGAGCAGGAGGTCGTCCGGGAAGCTTCACGAACACTGAAGCCTGGCTTTGCTGCCATACATTCTGACTCCGCTGGGGTGGGGTCTGACCCAGGCAGAACCTCCCAGATGATTGTGAGAGGCAGCCTAGCTTAAGAACCACTGCTCCCATCCCTGGGGCGGAAACGATTTGTCCCCTAATTTTCAGAGGTGAACACAGAGGCCCAGAGACTTGGACTCATGTGTCGAAAGTCACACAGCAGGGTGTTGGAGTCTTAGGTTTTCTGAGCCCAAAGCTGATACCCTCCAGACAGTCACCTCAGACGTGGGCTGAGCCTGGGGATCATGGAGGAAGATTTTATAAGGACTGATGCCTGGACCCCATCTGGCAACCAACCCCCTTATCGTCAGAGTTCCCTGGAGGAATCTAGCATGAAACATGGATCTGGAGACAATTTTACTAACCTGAAAGTGAACCCCTGTAGGTAGGTTCCCTGCAGGGCGTGTGAGCCGGGTCGGTTCCAGGACGCCAGCCCAGGTCCCCCAGGACGCCAGGCCGGGTTTCCCAGGTCAGAAGACACGGGGTGGGGGACAAGGATCTGGGTTTAAAATTGACATAAAACTTCCCTGACAATGTTTTTTACAGACAGGATTTCGGGAACTACTGCCATCCATTATGCACCACGGGTTTACATTCAGCTGGATCTCCCTGCTCGTCCCTCCCTCTCTCCTCCCCACCTCCTGTTCTCCCTCTCTGTCCCTCTTCTCTTCCCCACCATCTCCTCTTTCGGTTCCTATTGTAATAATATGAAAAATAATTTCTAAATTATGCTTTATTCTACCATTGCAGCCTGCGAGTATTTTTTAGTCAACAGTAATTTACGGAAAAAGATTTCACGCATACACGCGTGCGTGTGTCCTCGGCACTTGGTCTGTGTATTAACAGGAAATGAATCTAGCTTCTTAGGATAAGCTTATTTTACTTTAAAAAAATTGTTTTTTTTTAAATTATCTAGTTTTGAGAGAGAGAGAGAGAGAGAGCACGAACGGAAGAGGGGCTTAGAGAGGGAGACATGGAATCCGAAGCAGACTCCAGGCTCTGAGCTGTCAGCACAGAGCCTGATGCAGGGCTTGAACTCAGGAACTGTGAGATCATGACCTGAGTTGAAGTCGGCTGCTTAACCTGCTGAGCCACCCAGATGCCCCAGGATAAGCTTACTTTAGGCTGAAAACATTTAGTGCACCTGGGTCGCTCTGTCGGTTGAGATTCGATTCTTGGTTTCGGCTCAGGTCTCAGGTCACGATCTCATGGCGGGTGAGATCAAGCCCCGCATCGAGCTGCTCGCTGACAGTGAAGAATCCTGCTTCGGATTCCTTCTCTCCCTCTCTCTCTCTCTCTGTCCCTCCCCCACTCGTATTCTCTCTCTTTAAAAAAAATAAAAATAAAAAAACCCAAATAGACTGAAAACGCCGAGGAGAAAGTCACACACAATTCTCTCATCTCTCAGCAAAGTTATCCGAGCGGTACAGTCTCGTCCTTCATTGTCTCTAGCAGGCAGGATCGTGTGTATGTTTGGAACATTTCTAATTTGGATGCATCTGGTTGTAGCCCTCCTTTTCTTGCCAGCGAGGGTGAAATGGTAAGGTAAGCTTTTGTTGACATTTTCTGAGTTCCCCGGTACAGAGGACAGAGAAAGAGAACACAAAAATAGAGACAGAAGGGAGAAAAGCTGGTAAAAGGAGAAACTGAAGGCAATAAGGGATCGCTGGTGAGGACAGAGCGGAGGAGAGCTGGGCAAAAGTAGCTGGGGAAAGATCTAGAAGAAATGGAGTCGCAAAGAGCGGACGAGCCCCAGGCAATCCTTTCAGAGTTTCGTCAAGTGCTTTCTTATGGGATCCTCAAACACCCTGCGGGGGGCAAACCCATCTGGCGCTAAGGGGACTCTGAGGTTCAAAGCGGTCAGGGAGGAGGTGGCAGGAAGCCAGAACCTTCTTCTGATCACTATTCCCGCCTTGCCCGCAGGCCCCCTGTGTCTTCCTGCCAGGCAGGAGGGGGCGAGCGCAGAGCAGACCAGGCCCAGGCTCCCCCCCCCTGCACCTGCATTGCCTGGGAGGGACCTCCTGACCTAAAGCACGAGTCAGACGCACGGGTGGGTATTTTGTTTTCCTTCTCTGCCTAATGGGGGCCAGTTCCGGTCAGATGCTGGGCCTACAATTTCCTTCCGGGGAGCTGGTTGATCCCACCGCCCCGAAGCTTGTGGGTGCCCCTGCGTCACGACAGCAACTACACCTGCACAGTTGTGGGGTGACGGCCAAGCTCCCCACGGTGTCAGTGCACACTGAGGCCTCGCTGAGCCGCATGACCCGTAGGACATTGGTGCTCCATACTTACCACTCGCCAACAATGCCTTTTTCTTTCCTGAGCTTGAAGGGAGAGGTGTTTAAACGTCACTGGCCCTTATCTCTCCTTTACTGTGTAGAAATGCAGGGACTGGGCCTTCTAGCTGATTTGCATGGCAAACCCTCCACGCGGTTGTGTTCCTACGAGTAGAGGCTAGGGAGCAGGTTTCTGTCTTTCCACTGGAAGACGTAGCCACCTGTGTTTAGAGCTCAGAGCAGGTGGCCGGCTGGGAGATAAGGGGACAGTAACTTTAATCAACCGGAGCAGAGGCAGAAGACTCCAGCAGGGAGCCAGCACCCAGCAGAGGATGAACTGAGCAGTTGGAGGGAGCCGCTAGGAAGAAAACAGGAAGAAGCTGCCAATGGCTGGGATAAATGTATCCAAATGTAACAGGCTGACAGGTCCGGGCAGGCCAGATACACAGGGCAGAGACACCTCCGGCAGCCGGCAGGGTGGGGGATTTTAAAAGTGTCTCTGTCCCTTGTTGCTGGGTCAGTTTACATGCCTGCCCTTGTCCTCTGCTGGGGACGGTGCGTCGCTGGAAAAGACCTCACAAGATTATCAGGTTTTTCTCCGTTTGCCTCTCGTGCATGTTTCATGGGCCAAAAGTCACGTCGTCTGAGCCACAGAGGAGTAAAAACAGGGGCACAAGGATCCTGCTCTGAGCGCAGGGGTCGGGGATCTGTTTTCTCAGACAAACAAGTTAGCCTGGAGGAACAAAGTCTGAAAGTGAATCATAAACTCTTGTTTTGTTCGAGAACAGAAACTGGTCTCGAAAACATCTCTGTTGGATTTGGGGGCACAGACCGGCGCTGGGGGGCCAAAAGTAAACTAGAAACTTCCAAGAAGGAGCAGACCAGCTGAAAAGTCCGTTCCGTCTTTTTTTTTTTTCTTTAATAATCAAAAGGCAAATATAACACACATTTTTCAACACACTGAAAACATGATAGCCTGTCTGAGCATTCAAGTAAACAGCTTTTGTTAACTGTCACATAAGTGAATCTAATAAATGAAAAAAACAAAACAAAACAAAACAAAACAAAACAAAACAAAACATCCTTACTATAAAAGCTTTGTCAGAGGCCCCAAACGAATTTTGAACGTGGCTTTACAAGAATTAATGTAAGCAATCTGGTGATGACTCTTTCTTTTAAAATAAATCCTAAGGCATTTATGGATTATTGAAAATTATGTAGTTGAAAGAATTCCTCCGAATTGTATTACTTTCTTTACTGGAAGATGGTTAACGCTCTTTTGAATGGGAAAGCAAGCAATATTAAATTTAAAAATCCACATACGTTACCTTGAGGCAATACATTCAGATTACTTTCTCTTCAGGACATTAACACATGTATTGGGACAGCTCTGGGCATCTGCATAAAACGTATGTGGCTCCTTGTCGAGACTTCGAAAAACTACTTAAAATTTATCTTTAGGGGCGCCTGGGTGGCGCAGTCGGTTAAGCGTCCGACTTCAGCCAGGTCACGATCTCGCGGTCCGTGAGTTCGAGCCCCGCGTCAGGCTCTGGGCTGATGGCTCAGAGCCTGGAGCCTGTTTCCCATTCTGTGTCTCCCTCTCTCTCTGCGCCTCCCCCGTTCATGCTCTGTCTCTCTCTATCCCAAAAATAAATAAACGTTGAAAAAAAAAATTTTTTAAAAAATAAAATTTATCTTTAACATTATGATCTGGGGAGGAAGCCTGACATGTGCAGCTTCTATTTATATGCACACTGTGCCTGGGGGATGTTCGTCCATTTGTAAAAGCCGACTGACTTTGAAAATGTCCGAGATTCCAGCAAAAATAAAATATCAATCAGCTTAAGCATTAGGCAAATTATTTCACAAGCTAAACCGAGAAGATTTTCCCAAGTTTAACGATGAGTAGATTAAGAAAAGTTTCCTGTTTGGGGATAATACATTAAAAACCAGGGCACTTTAATTGTTTGGAAATACCTGAATGAAGGTCTCCGTTCCTGTCCTCAGGCAGAGGAGAGGACTGGATTTGACTCGAATGAATGAATAAAAGTACATAAAAGTATGAATTCTCCCCTCTGACCATCTGCCATTTTTATTTTTTTACCGATTTCCAAAATACTTGATCAATGTTGTTTCCCATTCTCGGGTGTGGCTGTAATTCAAGGTCAAGGTCATGAAAATGCAATCTTAGTTCTGCTCATGCATGCTGAGTTTTCAGAGTTATTTTTATCAGTTTCTCATTTGGTCTCGATCTACCAGTGTAAGCTTAGGGAAATTATTTCTTTTGCTTCACACTACTGAGAACCCAGAATGTTCTAGAGAGCAGGGGCCAGGGTCCTGGCAAACATTTGCGGAATGCCCGGGCCCTGCCGTGGCCAGGGCTGGCTTGCAGGCACACAGCCCTTTAGAACATACCGTTTAGGTGCGGCACGGATGCGATTTTGTTTACAGGGCAATGGTCCTCCCGGTTACCCTCTGCCAGGAATCCAGGCTCTTTTCCCAGAAATAATGCTCTTCCAAAGGGTAGATAAATATCCCCTCCCATTATATGGAGAGTTAATAAGATAACCTGAGAGCTGCAGGCACACACCCAAGGGCAGCGCATGGCTGGAGCATGACCCTGTCACGGGAAGACTGAGGGCGTGGACGACACCAGACAGGTGACCGGAGAGCAGCGTACAGACCTCGGCGCCAGCCGGGACTGGCGGCGGCATAGGCGGAGGAGGGAGGAGCAAGGAGGCACCTGTGAGTTTCCCCCGGGAGACTGGAGGAGGCCAGACTCCGGATGGGGTCTGTAAGAGTGGCAGAGGGTAGGAAAGCCGTCACACGTGCAGCCTTCCGCTGACAGGTTGAGGCGTATGACAGACAGTAGAGGAGACGTCGTTAACAAAATAGGTGATGTTTCCTTAGAACGCGACCCCAGGGAGGAGCCGGGAACGGTCAGCCAGCACCTGAGCGCAGGTATGAGTGGGGAGGGGGCACAGATGAAAGGGAGCCGCTAACTGTGCCCTGGGACCGTGGGGCGTCCCTGCTGAGGGACACACTTGGAGCTGTGTCAGTGGAGGAGAAATCATTTTCTAGATGTAAATTTAAAAGTTAAGTGTATTCTTGGCACAAATCAATGAAGGGAAAACGCACGCCCGAGGCATAATGGGGATTTGAGGGCCGCTGAAGCACAGGGGTGATGTGGGGAAGGAGAGAGGGAGGGAAGGGATCCAGGAGAGGTGACAGGCACAGGGACTTCGGGGCAAGAGCATAGTGGGCAAAATGAATAGGGATCACACACGCACACACATGCTGGCATGCACGTGACCATAT